GAGAAAACTAAGGATAAAAATGAGATGGTCACTGTAGATTACAATGAAATACAGAAAATATGGAAATATTTTTAAATTTAGATTGCAAAAAACCTGAAAAGACACTCTCAGACACATGTTAAATCAAGAAGATATAAGCACAATCCTAACAGCCTTTAAACAGAAATTTAAAAAACCTTCTAGCGAAGAAAAGCCAAATATTAGATTATTTAGTACTTGGATTCTAAAAAGTCTTTAAAAAGGAGTTAAGTCAATGCTCATCAAACTGTTCAATAAAATAGGCAATATTACTTTGCTACTTAAATCATGTATCATGGATAGAATACTATAGAACAATTTCCCTGATGAATATGAGCAAGAAATTTCTCAGTAAAATTCTTACCAACCAATTTAACATCATCAATATTATTTGTGTGTATGTGTGTGCACATGATATATGTATAGATAATATGCATGTGAGTGATGTGGAATATTGCGTAGGTCAGAGGACAGCTTTGTGGAGTCACTTATCTCCTTCCCCATACATGTAGGTTCCAGGGATTGAACCCAGGTTACCAGGCTTATGAAGCAAGTTCCTTTACCCATCAAGATATTTTGATGGCACCTTGCAAGTCAAGTTTAAGAGCACATTAAGAAGATCAGGTAACTTGTTGCACAGGTCTGACTGCCTAAGTTCAATCCAAAGAACCCATGCAAAGGCAAAAGGAAAGAGGTGATTGCACATGTTTCTTCATTTGAAACTTATCTATTCAACTTAATTACATTTACTGATTTAATATTAATTTGTGATTAATAATTTGATTCTTTATATTTTATATTAATTTTCTACCAGATAAATAATTGGTAATTTCCGTCCTTTATGGATGCTGTCTCATCGCTCTATTAATTGTTTTTTCTGTGCATAAGGATTTTAGTCTGATATGATGTCAATAGTCAGTTCTATTTGTCATTATTTGATGAGTTATAAAAATCATATTCAGAAAGCCTTTGCCAAAACAGAGATACTGAAGTATTTCTCCTATTATTTTCTCTGCTATTTTCAAAGTGTCAAGTCTTACATTAGAATCTTTGATCAATTTCCAGTTGATTTTTGCGCCATTAATATATAAAGGTATCTTGTTTCAGATCTCTACACATTGATCTCAAGTTTTTCAGCACGGCTTACTGTGCAGGTCATCAGAACTACCTTGAATAGTGAGTTACATACAGAAGATAAAATTTCCCAATCCTTCAGATCTTGCATTCTTTCCACTTCCTCTTCAATGATGTTCTCTGGTCCTTGGCAGGGGCACAGATATTGATAAAGATTCTGTTATATATTAGCTTTCTCTGAGGTGAATTGGTAGAAACCTGACATCTCAAAAAACAGAGAATGGACTAGAATTTGCAAAATTTCTAAAGTCAGTACTCTAGGATATAGTTCATGGGAGTATTAATCTATCATGAAGATTTCACTAGGAACTTCTCAAGTCAGTGTTGAGCTTTCTTATGAAAACTTTTTACAAGAATGGGGTCCTTTAGGGACCGGTAGCCTTCAGAGTCATACTGAAATTCACGAAGTCTTTGACACCATTGTTTGGATGGCGCGGTTATATGCAGATGCTTCTTTTTCATTTTTCAATGCAGGCCTCTTTCTAATGCCATTTGTGTTTTAATTTCACAAACAATACAACTTATCAGTCATATTTACTTCTAATATTGTAATTATGACTTATAACAGGGATTAATATTTTAAAACAAATTCCAAATTGTGATGTCTCTTAAAAGACATCTCAGAAGTTTGGACCCTATGCATTTTCACATAAATTTGACAGTTATCTGTTTAGATTCCACCAAAAATGCTGTCAAAGCTTTTAAATAGAATTGTATTTACTATATGATCTATCTTGTGAAGAATGGACATATATAAAACACTGAGTTTTCCCATTAGTAGTGGAAATAGAGGTCCTATGATTGTATATGTTTAGGACAGCTCTCTCTTATTTAACATTTAATGAAACTTGATTATTTCACTTATAAATGTCTTATATTTCTTTGTCAAGCTATACTTTTGTGTTCTTTTTGCTTTTGATATCATTAAAATAAATTATCTTTTCATTTTCTGTATATAGCATATAGAAATCGATTGTTTTTCTGTTATTGTTTTCTGTGTTGGTTTCATGCCAAACACCATTGCTAAGCTTTAGTACTTCTCATATTTCATTTATCATTGCCCTGGATTCCCATCCTTATACTTATGTATTGGGTATTAAAAACAGGTATTTGCATCTGTTCCATTCTTTACACCTCATCTCTGTCCTCCCTTCTTGCCCATTCAGACATATAGTAATGGCTTATTTTCTTTTTGTGCTTATGAGATTGTATCCAGAGATGCTTACATTTCAGGCAAGTACTTTATCACAGCCTGATGATCTTACTCCTGGTCTCACAGAGAAAGCCATCAATAAATCATGATTTAGTTTGATGCTTAAATAGAATATGTCACATATATTATCATCCTTTAAAGGTCACTTGGTGGCTTCTACTTTTCAATGATGATTTTTAAAAAGTTGTATCAGATTACAATCCTGCCAACAGTAGCAATAAGGTGATTTCAAAGACCAGATAGGACAGTTATCATTGTACAATATAAAAATTCCAGAAATCAGGGTACTGTTGAGTGGGAGTCTGGTATTTCACATCCATGTTTTACTCTGAACATTTGACCATAATTGGTGCACAGCAACAGCTGAACACTCCTTAGAAGACCCTGATGTGGGAGGTGATGTGTGCTGTGAATATGCTGTATTGCCATTGGTTAATAAAGAAGTTAATTTCAGCCAATGTTTTAACAGAGAAAGACTAGGCAGGAAATCCAGAGATGTAGAGAGAGAGTAGGTGCAGTCAGAGAGACACCATGTAACTGCTGAAGGAGACAGAGGCCCAGGGAAACTTACCAGTAAACTACAAGCCTTGTGGTAAAATATAAAATAATAGAAATTACTTAATTTAACATATACAAGCTAGCTAGAAATATTCTTAAGCTACTGCCAAACAGTATTACCATTAATATAGTTTCTGTGTGATTATCTTGGGTCATTATCTGGGTGGCCCAGAATGAACAAGCAGCCTCTGCCTACAGAGCCCAAACTTTGGGACTATATAGGCCTGGGGGACAAATATAAACTTCAGGGACAGTTTCCCAGCAAGAAGAAGAAGATACAGTATTGAATCAATATTCACTGGGGTTCCACTTTAACGTATTTGTTAAATTCTAAGGGGAAAAACGAACCTTGGAAAGGCAAAGTAAAATTTCCCAGTAGCATTTAATAATAAAAGGGTTTCAGTTCAGGCAAATTAGTTAGCAGGCCTCAAAAATGCACAGTTTCAGTCATATGAAATCCTCAGTGTTCTGACATAGTAATGGAGATGAAATAGTCGTAGTGAGAGCCTCACTGAAAGAAACATATTCTGGCCAGGTGGTGGTGGTGTAGGCCTTTAATCCCAGCACTCTGGTGACAGAGGCGGGTGGATCTCTGTGAGTTTGAGGCCAGCCTGGTCTACAAGAGCTAATTCCAGGACAGGCACCAAAGCTACACTGAAAAACCCTGTCTCAAGTAACCAGAAAGGAAGAAAGCAAGGAAGGAAGGAAGAAAAGAAGGAAGCAAGGAAGATATCATGATCTCATGACTAGATTATGATATCCTATTCTAAATGACTATTAATGAATAATATGAGCACCCATAAATAAAAATAACATCATATGAAGACTTCATATATATACAATGTTTGGCAGTCAAGGAAAGCACCAGGACACATTAGTTCATTCAAAGGAAAAAGTTGAAAATAGAAATAGACTCAGAGGTTATTTCAGTATAGGGTAAGAATTTACAATAATTAACTGAAGAATAAAAAATGAAGGAAAAGAGAAGAAATCAGAAAATGTCCAGATAATTGAAATGCATAAAAAGGAATTAATATTTAGAAAATAGAGACCCAATAACGGAAATTGAGAACTAAAAATAGAAAACTTTCTCTTTCTGTCTTAATGATATTTTACTAAAAAGCGATGTTTGTTGAGTTTTACTAACTTTCCTTTGGAATCACTACAACACTTTTGTTTTGCTGTGTTTTGTTTTGGTTTCAGACAATCTTGCTCTGCAACCCAAGCTAGCCCGAAGCACACTGTATCAGGATGCATCGATTATCCTGCCTCTGCCTCCTGAGTGCCTAGGTTGTGTACTATACCATGGCGCCTGATCACATTACTTGATTACATTAATATATTTAATTTATTGATTTTAATACTATTATGCATTCCTAAAATAAATGCATTTACTTACTACTACATTTTTTGTCATTTTCTTTTTTAAAGATTTTTGTGTCTATGCTTATAAATGAAATTGGCTTCTAACTTTTTTTGTTAATATCAAAGTTGTATTTGCCTCCTAACTGAAGAAAAGTGTGTTCCCTCTCAATGTTCCTTGAGAGATTTTGTGACAGCTTGGACTACATTTTAACTGAACATGTCACCTCCTGACCTCCTCTCCTTCATGTTCTCAGCCTTTATCTTCACTTTGTTCTTCTTTCTCAGTCCAAGTCTTAAATCTGGCAACAAAAACTACTTTCCCTCTTTTATGAGGATTAATTGTTTTCTCTTGACAATTCCTGAGAATTCTTTGAAGATGGTCTAATTTTTACTTATAGTTAATTTGTATTTTCACCTCCTTTTCTAATTTGATCAAGATAGTGATTAACAAAGACAAAAATAATTCAAATGTGATAACGTGTCAGTAATGATGGCACATACTTATAAATCCAACACTTGGGAAGTCAAGCAGGAGAATCACTGCTGAATTATAGGCCAGCCTGCACTACATACTGAGTTCAAGGCTAACCTGAATCACAAACTGAAAACAAGGCCAGTCTGGGCTACAGGGTAAAAATGTATCTCAAACAAGGTGATAAGTTCTACCAAGATAAGGCTTATAGATGTAATAATATCTGTGAACTTTTTAGGAGGACATGTAGTGGCATTTCATTTGTATTTTAATAAACAAAAGCTTGCCTAATGATCAGAAAAGTAAGACAGCCACACAGGCAGCAATGACACACACCTTTAATCCCAGTAACCACAATGACACACACCTTTACTTCTAGTAGCCACACTAACTTTCCATAGAAACCAGGCAATAGTGGTACACGCCTTTATCTCAGAACTAGAGAGGAATAAAAACGGGAAGAGACAGCTCTCAGTCTTAGTCTCATTCTGGGATTCCTGGAGGCAGGATCGCCATTTCCGACCGAGATAGAGGTAAGAGCTAGTGGCTGGCTGTTTTGCTTTTCTCACCTTCAGGTTGAAGTCCAATTTTTTGTCTCTGAACTTTTATTAATCATGCCTCAAGTGTGTAACAAAAGCACATAAAAGACACATTGTATGAAAATTTAAATGGGAATTTGTCTGTATTCTGTTGTATCCTCCTCCTTAAAAGTGATTCAAAGCTGAACTGTGATGACACACACCTTTAATCCCGGCACTCAGGAGACAGATGCAGTGGATCTCTGTGAGTTCAAGACCAGCCTGGTGCACAGAGCTAGTTCTAGTACAGCCAGGGCTATGCAGAGAAACCCTGTCCAGAAAGAGAAAGAGAAAGAGAAAGGGAGGGGGGAGGGGAGAGGGAGGAGAAGGGGAGAGGGAGGGAGGGAGAGAAAGAGAGAGAGAGGAAGAGAGAAGGGAAGGAAGGAAAAAAAGTGATTAAAAAACCCAGCTCCAAATGGTGAAGCAGTAACGGTAGAACATTCAGTGAGCATACAGGAGGTCTTGGATTCAATTGTAGGCAGCAAAAACAAAGATCAGCTGTCACTCAAAGGAAAGAGATTCGAATGGTAGCTCATACTTGGAAAGACTTAAAAATTTGTGAACCTTCAGAGATAAGAGAAATCTTTACAGCAAGGAAAGGTTAAGAGTTATTCAAACAAAGGGAACCACTAGAAAATGCAACTGATATAGAAAAGTCTAATAAAACTTGTTATACATCAGTAATGAAATCACAAAATACAAAGAGTTAAAATGTCAGAGGTTGAGTTCTGAGAGGGTAAGAATGGGATGTTGCCTGTAGGATGTGGCAGATAAAGTATCTAGATTTTGTTCTCAAACAACAGTCAATGAAGAGTTGTATTTATTAAAAATATATATGATTACATTTATGTTTTTCACATATAATGAGCTTCTGTGTGAGAAAAAGTTAGATTGGGCCATTGTTGGCTACTAAGACTGCAGAAAACAGACTATTGAAAGAATGTGGCAAGGACTTAGATGACGAGATAGATGAGTTTGGTAATACTTGGTAGGCAAATTCTTAGAATTCTGTGACAGGTTATTGGGAATAAAGATCAAAACAGAGCTAAGAACAAAACTCAGGCACTAGGTAGGGAAGTTTACCAGGTGATGGCACCACTAAGTGTCAGTTTGAACAAAGAAGTGTCTCTTCTCTTCTTTATATACCTCAAAAAATGCCAATAGATGTTTGCCCTATAGAAGACCATTAAAATAGCCATTTTTCTTAAAGGGAGCTTGGCGATCCTAAAGAAAACTTTTACAACAGAAACCAGTTCTTTTCTTTTTTGTCATTTGAGCTCTGTACATTATTATACATTTTCTAATTTTACATTATAAAATATAGCTGTCATATAGACAAGTATACTAGCTTCTAGACACAACAGGAATGAGGAAATAGTTAGCAGTCTCTCATACAGCAAGCAGTGACCTCAACTTCCTAGTAGTGACACCCTTGCATAATCTTCTCTACTCATGAGTAGGAATTAACGTTTTGAACCAGTTCTAAGAATAACTAGTGGCAGAACTTTTAGCTTAGGTTATAAAAGGTCTGTGGCTTCTATTTTGGTTGTTGTAGCTCATTCTATGTCTTAGCTGTCTCCTTATTCAGGAATCTATCCATGTAAAAGTATGTGGGGCCATGATTCAATGCTTCTTGTGAGAACACGCAGTGGAATCCTCTTCCAGTGAGGCTTGAGATGACTGAAGACACAACTGACTGACCTCTTAGTCATCGTTATGCTAAAAACAGCAATCTGTAATCATTTTTCACAGCTACTTCCACATTCCTGATTACCTAAAACCATCAGATAATAAAAGTTTGTCCTGACTAAACATAGTGGCACATACCTGTGATTCTTTTTTTTTTTTTTTTTTTTTTTTTTTTCGAGACAGGGTTTCTCTGTGGCTTTGGAGCCTGTCCTGGCACTAGCTCTGTAGACCAGGCTGGTCTCGAACTCACAGAGATCTGCCTGCCTCTGCCTCCCGAGTGCTGGGATTAAAGGCGTGCGCCACCGTCGCCCGGCTTGTGATTCTAATATACAGAAGGTATAAGTAAAATGATCATGAGTTTGGTGCCAATTTCAGCTCCATAGAACATCTAAGACATCCTGGGCTGCATGGTAAAAGCCTGTCTTTAAATGAATCAGTAAATAAAACAAATGTGTGTAGGTTCTTAATGTGTGTAGTCCATTATATCTTGGACTAAGTTGCTATACAGAAATAGCTAACTACTACATTTGGCTTTCTAGCAGAAATATCAAAATGAGTCAAATGTTTGATTAACAGTGATCATAAACTATTTTGTTTATTTAAGTGTTAAAGCAGTACCTTAACAGAACCTGATTTTGTGGAGAAATAACAATATAAACATGAATGTGATTACCAGCTAACACAGTGGAGATATTAGTACTTCTGGGCTGTTCTCCATGGCTATATAATTAAAAAGCTTTAAGACTGAATGAAGATAGGACAGGAAGATTAGATAGTCATTTCTGAATGGATGGATATAACAGAAATCAAGAAGATATTTTAACAAAGAAATGGAAACAATTCCTTTTGAAGAGAGATCTCTGTAACATTCCTATTTTCAAAGTCTATGTTCAAAAGGAAATGGGGTATGTCAATTATCTGGTAAATCTGACTCCAAAATTCCCTTCAGTATGTCTCTTACAGAGTGAAAATAGCATGATTCAGAGGCTAGAGACTGATTTGACAATTGTTAAGAATCTAACACTTAAACTTGGGCCTATCTTGTAGTACTCAGGGCTAAATTCAGGGGCTCACATATGTTAGGTCAGTATTCTGCGCTATATCCACACTGGCAGCCATCTCTGGATCTTAGGTCACAAGAGCTAGAGGTTCTCTTGGCCTCTCATGTCCAAAAAATTCACCCAGTTATGTCTCCTCATCTTTAAGGGATATGGTTACTGCTATCAGGTAGTGAATGATTTTCTTCTGCTTGAGATGGGACGTTCATAACCGATATTCTCTTCCTTGGGTATATAAGGCAGGAACCCACTCAAGGGAGAGATAAGAGGAATCAAAATACCAGGCAGGCATGTGAGTGTTTGGGACCTCATGCTATGGGTGTTTTGGATTTCCAGAGAGAGATATGTCTTTTAAGCTCAGGGCAATTGCAAGTCAGAGCCCTAAGGCCTGGCTGGTTTTGTCAATCTGGCAATTCAGTGTCAGAGCAAAGGACATCCCCAGCACCTGTGGAAAGAATTGAGAAAATGTGAGGTCTTCAAAAGAGAAAACATTTCTCCCACAGATACTAGGACTGGTAACACAGAAAAGCAAGATTTCTATCACCCTGTGACCACTCTCCGGCATCACTCCCTTCTAAGGATTTTCTCTCTTTATGATTAAGAACAGCATTAGGAAGAAAATGGGAGCAATTGCAATATGATGGAAAAGTGGAAGGTCTTGGAAACATTTTTATCTTCTGAAGAAGTCACAGATGCTTAATGTATAGCCAGTTGTCTTTATTGAACAGTCTAAGAAAAATAAGTCAACTCTGTCCAAGTCTTAGGTTTCTTTTGCTTCCAAGCAGAGAAAAGGTCATTTAATCTTTAGCACTTAAGTAGGTCTTAAATAAAGTATAATATGCTCAATATTTTGGTAGAAAATAGTTTTATAAATATCACACAAGAAAAAAAAAAACAAAATTTCCCATTCACTTGTCAAACCAAGTACAAGCAGAAAGGGAAAATAATTATAATTTCCATCATTACTTCCTTCTTAACATAAAAGGTCAATTTTTCAAAGTAACTATTTTATCATAATCTTTTCCAGACCAGCTAAGTGAGCGACTAATGTGGAAATCTGCTTAGCACTCCTAATTTGTCTGTGACTCATTTGTATCTCTAAGGGACACATTAATTTGATATATATTCTTATACCCATTTTTCTGTATATTTCAAGTTGAGTTGATAGTTTGCTCCTTGAATAGAGAAACTCATGAATAACATGACATTTATTGCCTCGTTTTTCTTCCCTGGTACTGTTCTAAGACTGTGTGTTTTAACTCATTTAATCCTTGTGGGGATCCCAGGATGAAGCTCTTACCTGTATCACACATACACAGATGGTAATGATTCCAATATATAAGAAATTGGAGTGAAACCACTGTTTTGCTTTATTGTAGCAACCCTAGGGGAAAAATTATAGGCATGAATGGTATCATCCAATATGTCAACTTTATCAGGAAGGTTATCTGGGATGGCAGTTTGGATTTATTTAATATAGAGACTGACATCAGATGTTGCAGTTTTATTTCCCTTTCATATTTAAAGAGACAGACATAGAAAACATTAAGTCAGAGGCCTTCCTACTGATATTATCAGTATACTTGCACTTAACACAGAAGACTTGGCTCTTAACAGAGTTAAACTGGCTCCCAAGAAGTAAGTAAAAAATACATGTCCTTATTTTCTTTGGACACTAAGAGCTGATCTAAAAAATAACATATGGGATTATAGGTGTTGTGATCTTTGGATCAAGGTATATCTCAATATTTGCTTCAGGAATCAGCATCATATCCTCATAAAATTCCAGAGCTGGCCGTCCTGTGTGTTTATTTTTTTCCCTTGGACCTGAATATTTCTATAGATTTCCAAACTCAGAAAAAGGTAATATGTGGTCAAGACAAGGTCTTAGGGATTGGATTTACTGGAAGATGACTCTGTTTTCCTCTAGATGAAGAGAGCCCAAAAATAAGAGGAAAGGTGGTTTCTAAAAACTCGTTTTCCAAAACTCTCATTCCTCCACATGCTTTTAACTCAGCTCACAAAGGGAATGGATCTGCCTTCTCCAAGGAGACGGCAGCTTGTTACCTAACAAGCTTTTCTACCCTAATCATGTAAATTATACTTTAAACATGAGAAGAACTATCTTTTGTTGAATAATTGTCTAGAAACATCTCTGGACAAGTTTTACACAAACTACCACACACACACACACACACACAGAGAGAGAGAGAGAGAGAGAGAGAGAGAGAGAGAGAGAGAGAGAGAGAGAACAGTACAACAAAAGATTCTTCATTGTGTCTCTTAACTGGATTAACTTACTCCTAGATTTTCGAGGCTTCTACAGTTACTGAGTTACTGGGTGTTGTTTCCCTGCTCCTTTTTGTTGTTGTTGTTTCAAATTCCCTGTTTCTAGGTGGAAGGTTTAGATCCTTTGGAACAATTTCTAATGGAATTAATTTTGAACAAAAGAGCCAGTAACAGGAACATTGCTAACAAAATTACCTGAACGTCTGCACCTGTTGGGCACGAAGATGGTGGACCACCAGTCCAATCACTTGTGCTATTTACACCACAGCAATGCAGCTGAAAGACAAGTCCCCGAAACATGATGATTAGAAAATTAGCAAAAACCAACACAAACAATGAACCCTAAACTTTATACAAAAGGTATGCTTGTCATTCAAATTTGACTCCAGAAGAAAAAAAAAAATCAGAATGGGTCTACTGCTGCAGCCTCTTTGGAACTAAATGTTCCAAGACTATTATATCATTTTATTCATAAAAGACATCTTCACAGAATACAAAGGGCATGTTTGGCTTATATATTTATCTATTGAGTACTTTCTTCCCGGGAGGCCTTATAACACAGAACTAAGGCTAAACCACATTGATTCTTGAGATTACTGAAAATGGTATATTTAGATACCTGCTTAGATAAGAAAAAAGGAATGTTAGTTTTACATATAGGAGAAATTTATGATCCAGCTATACTATTCTTAGACATACACCCAAGGAACTCTGTTATCCTACTAAAGGGACACTTGTTTATACACCTTTATTGCTATTCTATTTGCAGTAGCCATTCTAAATGTCCATCAATTGATGAACGGATATTGAAAATGTAGTACATTTATACAATGAAATATTATTCATATCTTAAGAAAAACTAAATTTAGAAAATTTCTGGTAAATGGACAAAGGTGGAAACAATCATCCTGAGTACAATAGCCTAGACTCAGAAACATAAATTTCATGTTTTTTCTCTTATATGTGGATGCTAACTTTGAATGTTTAGATTATTTGTTTAAACTGGAGTATAGCTAGATGCCAGGAAACTGGTAAAAGGGTATGGGGATGCTCTCAAGATAGAGGAGTTAGGTAGAATTCTGTCATATAAAGGAGATAAATGGAATGGGAATAGTTAAGTGAGTCGGGGGATAGGAGGTCAGGGTAAGGGATAGAATACTAGGAGGGGTAACTAACACTAAAGAGATCTGGAAAAAAGACATATGGAAACTTTTGCAGCAGTATGTTTCCATATATATATGTACATATATATAATTAATATAAACAAATTTAAGTGAAGTTATCTATAATTAAACAATAATGCCCCTACTAGACCCCAGACTAACAAATAAACCTTTGTTGGAGCTGCTGGCCATCAGGGTTCTATAGACCCTTACATATTACAAGCTGCTGCCAATACCTCCAGTTACACTCCAGAACTTGGTATAAGACCCTATTGATGAAACTACAACATATGTGAGTCACAGAACATGGAGAGATCAAGCTGGATTGATTTGGAAGTTTGATACGTAATGGCTAGATTTCATAGTGTTGGGCGGTTCTGTATGTGCTACCAGAGGAGAAACGTGGTCATAAATCTTACAGACTTGTGATCCTGAGAGTTGTAATAATGATCAGCCTAGCAAGATACTGCTACTAGCACTGTCGTGACCCAGATGCCATGGGAGTAACCAACAACTTTTTGCTTGGATTTAAGGCATCTTACGTAAGATGGGACACATACTTGACACCATTTCGAGGGCCAAGAATCTGTGACTGGATAGGCTATAGGCCTTTGGGGAGAACCTACTAGAATGGTTTTGCTAAAATGGACAAAATATCAAATCAGTTTCTAATGACTTATTACTATACCCATAGATGAGTGCATCACTTAGCCATCATCAGGGAAGTTTCTTTCTTTAGTAGATTTAGTAATTATCACAGAGACCCACAGTTGGTCGATGTGTAGAAAATGGGGTACTCAGCCCTAAGCTGACATCTATATTACACCATCTCCTCCCAGGATTGAGGGATCTGTGTGGAAGAATGGGCAGAAAGTTGTAAGAGCTAGAGGCAGTGGAGACTAATCCACTATAAGGGAAGAGCATTTTCTGGGCACAACAGGGCTAGAGGCATTGAAGACTAATCCGCTATAAGGAAACAGTATTTCCTGGTCACAACAGGGCAGTTTCGCATAGGAACTCACAGTAATTGTGACAGCATTCACAAAAATAGAACAAACATAAAGGGTAGAATGGCCAGGAAGTTCCGTCCCTAGTTGAAGAGTTATTGGCAACTGATTACTTCTGAAAGGATAAGCAGTTTTTAAGGATATAAGGTATAATATCTGGTAGGTGAACTTCACTCCGATGGGATGACCTCACTCAAAAGTATATAGGTATCACTAACTGAACTGAGTGGGTTTATAAATAAAATGAGGATACATACTTGAGTAAGCAGAGAAGTGGGAGCAGATCTGGGAAGAGTTGAGGGGTAGATATGATCAGAATATATTGTATGAAATTCTCAATTAATAAAAAATGTTATTTTAAAAGAAGAGAAAAAGGAGAGAGTGAGACTTCATCAAGACTCTAGATTCACAATCCTTCTGGGAAACAGATTTCCTGCCATCAAAATACCTGTCAGATACCGAAAATGGTAAAATCTATAGGACAAGTAACCTAATTTTTGTTCACATACCCATATTATAAAGAACACTGTTATAGAGTAAAAGAAATTTTGAGACATTTCATTTAAATGCAACATTTGGACCTTCTTATATCTTGATTAGTTCAAATCAGTTGAAATTTTTTTGAGAAACTTAGAATAATTAGAATGAAGACTGTAGTTTGCATATAAATATATATACTATATTTGAGGATTCATTTATTAATTTATATATGTGTATGTTCACTATACCCATGCAGAGACATGTAGAAGCAGGAAAGGGCTTCAGAGCCTTTGGATTTGGAGTTCCAGGAGGTTGTGAGTCACTGGATTGGTGCTCTAACAAAACCCAGATCTTCTAGCAAAGCAATAAGTGCTTTTAACCACTGAGCCAGACCCTTTAGTAATATTGGGTGAGATGATATCAGGTTCAGTATTTCATTTTCTTTAGAATTTTCTAGCAAAATGTTTGGTGATTGAATGAGGTGGCAGTGACAATGTTGTTATGAAGCTGGTGACATGTATCAAGAGATTTACTCTTCTTGTTTTGTTTTTACTTTGTTATGTGTCTGAACATTAAAAGGGACTTCAAATCTGAAATGAAACAAATGAATAGTTTGAAAGATAGAGGTTGTAATTTTTCCAAGTCCTCCCCTTTATTTTATGTTGTAATTTCCTATGTTATTATCGTCTATTCCATATTAATCCGTCATGGGTGATGATGGTACTCTTGCGACGTGTATCACGCCCGTACAAGGCTTGCTAGGGCATGTTTGACCCTCGGCATTCTAAGGAAAGAATGGAAAGTTGATGTATGTTTGTGGGTAAGGAGAAGCATGAGGAACGTGACACTAGAGGGCTAAGTAATAAAATGTAATAATTTTGGTGACTGGGGAATAAAAATAAATAAACTAATCCAATATGATTTATTTGGGTCTTCTTTTCATCCTGTTAGGGATAATGTGATGATCTTATGTGAATAGATAAAGAATGAAATAGAATGCAGAAAAATTTGAGCCAGTTGGATTAATCCCTATAGTTCTCTGCCTACGAGAGCACAGACAATACTTTGGACTTTAGAACTGATGATCTTTGCGTCTGAAACATTAGGAAAGAGATGCTGGTTTCTGGGAACCAAACATTGGAATTCAGCTTAACTCATCTGAGCAGGATTCTTTATGTACTTACCTGTGATTGGATGAAGTCCCAGGCTGCCATGGTGCTGTTGTCAGTGTGATAATGTTGAATGCTGTCATTCAGGCCCTCAGCCACTAAGTTGCTCAGCTGTGATAAATCATGTTTATTCAGAGAAGACATAGTAAAAACAAGATGTATTTAAGAAATAAGAGATTTCTAGTGGACCAAATAATATATAACCCCACCCAAGGAGCCAGAACTAGGGAAGTGAGATAAGGGAGGCTATATGTTAAAACAAGCTGAAGGCTATATGGCTTTGAAGCAAGATATATATAATGGATGGACTTTTATCCTTCCATAACTATAGTTACAAAGGAAGGATGGTACAAACAAAGCCAAGGTCAAACCTTACTGAGAAGACTACCAACTCCATAGAGACAAGTAGACAGGAGGAAGCCAAGAAGACAAGCTTGTTGCATGTTCTCTTGTTATCTTTCAAGGAATCATTCAAATACAATCTTCATGACATTTTTTTCTCACCTCAACTGCAATTAACTCTTATTCTCCTACTTCATTTGTATGATTAACTACTAATGTGGTTTTACTAACTTCTCCACCATATATTCCCCATCTTAGTAATAAGAGAGCAAGCCATGTTCTTCACAACTTACCTTTTGCTCATACACAAAGAGCAGGATGGCTAAGGCCACCTCAGCAAGGAGAATAATCATCAGCAGAACAAAGAACTGTGACAAAGCAGAGACATGATCAGAACATTGATCCCCACTTCTGATCTACCTCCCTCTGCTATGGGAGAAAACAGGTCTACACATGTAGGCATATGTGCGTGCGCGCGCGCGCGCGCACACACACACACACACACACACACACACACACACACACACACACACAATCATGCATGGGAACTGCTCCTGTCTCCCCAGGGCTTTATAAGCTCTCTCTTGTTTTATGAACAATATGTGTTCTTTTCCTACAGCTGGACTCTAGAGGGCAGATTAGCTACCCTCTAACTTTATTCTAACATTGTTGAGTCAATGTTTTAGCATCAGCCTAGTGAAACAGTTGTACAAAAAGCCAGGACGTTAAAGCATGAGTTTGGGTCCTGGTCCCATATATCAGATCAAGTCTAGCTCAAGAGAAAAGGTGGATGATGGTGAAGGCTGGGAGGGAATCTGAACAGAGAGGAAGAAGGAGCCTAATCATAGTTCTTTTTTTTTTAGTATTTTTTTTTATTGAGAAAAAGGAAAAAAAAGTTTCCACCTCCTCCCAGCCTCCCATTTCCCTCCCCCTCCTCCCACTTTCCCCTCCCCCCACTTCTCTCCCCCTCCCTCTCTAGTCCAAAGAGCTAATCATAGTTCTAAGTCAAATTTTTGTCTCCAAATTTAGAATTGTGATCCCTGTATGACATTTATACAAAAACTTGAACAATTACAATTGTTCTTCACCTTTTAAAAAATTTAAACAACTATTTTGACTGCTTAAATAATTTGTCCTGTCTCTGATACTTCCTATCATTTTCTGTCTGACTGAGAACTGTTTGATAATACTTATTATCATCATCATCATCATCATCATCATTATTGTTGTTGATCTTGGCTCTAGTTTAAGTGTTGATCTATAAAAGAAGATTGATCACATGACATAAAGGATAACTGGATTGCAAACATATCAACCTCTTTCCTTAGTACACTAGAAAAATTGTATCTTTTCTACTCCAATGCCAATAGGTAAAATCTAAGCCTGACAATACTCCTCAGGCTGATTATTTGACAGGGAACTGCTACAAATCTCTCTTCTATTTCTTGTAGTCAAGCTCCTTACCTAAATTGTGAAACTCCTACTATGAAGGCTACTTTGTGCATGAGTTAAGGAAGAATTCTACATCGTTGGGGAGGGTCACTATGTTCAGAAGAACCTACTCATTATTTTTTTATCAGTTAATTACTATGTGTTAAAATCTGAAGTATATTCTCGCAGAAAGATAATAACTAATTTCAATCAGGCACCAAGGAAAAATATTATGCTGTGAAAAGACATGACAGTGAAAAGGACCATTATTGACAGTGTAACATGGTTACCAGAGATAACAGTAATATCTTATTCTACATAGCCTTGGGATCCCAGTCAGAAACAAACTAATATTGGTATATAATATTTTGGCTGATAAGAGATGCTATGGTGGTTAACTTTAATTATCAAATTGACAACCTAGAATCAAATGGAAATTACTCAATAAATTTAGAAATTGTCTAGGTTAGGTTGATCTGTGGGAATGTCTGTGAGGGACTATTATGACTGTTAATTGAAATGGGAAGACCAACCCTGACTGTTGATAGAATTATTTCATGGGCTGAACCCTGAACTGTGCAAGTGTAAAGAACGTTACCAGAGACTGTTCTCTATTGTCTCTTGTGATGTGGGATGTCCTTTTGTATATGTGTTGCTTTTGTTGGTTAATGAATGAAGCTATTTTGGCCAGTAGCTTAGCAGAGCCAAGCCAGGAGGGAAATCTGAACAGAGATAAAGAGAATAGGTGGAGTCAAAGGAAACACAGTGTAGCTGCAGAACGAAAAAGATGCCAGAACCTAACCAATAAGCCACAGCCTCATGGCAATACACAGATTAATAGAAATGGGTTATTTAACAGGAAAGGATAGCTAGGAATACACAATTGACCAAATAATGTTGTAAGTAATATAGTTTATATGTGATATTTGGGTCTGGGCAGATGGGAAAAGAAAACATAGTCTCTGTTTACACTCTTGACTGTAGATGTAATTTTTAAGTTCCTGCTTAAATTGATATATTTCCTGTATGTATAAGATTTGTTTATAAGATCAAACAAATACCTTTTACTTCTAAATTTCTTTTTTATCACATCAACAGAAAGGAAATAAAATCATAACCTGGTACCAAGGAAGGGTTGATCTTATATCTGTTGCTGTAATGAACCTGATGATGTTACTTTTTTGAAGAATAAAGGTGTTGAATATTGATTTGGAAAATCTCATTGAGTGATGTGGGTAAAGCTTAATGGGCTATTCTTGTGGGGTGTTGAGAAGAGGATTACTAGAGTAAAACTAATGGTGGAGGTCCAGATCATAGATTTAGTCAATAACTGGGCTAGGGAATATTCATGTGACATTTTAGCTAAGAATCTATGTGTGATGATCATGCTGGAGCTGAACAAAGCAATGATTTATCAGAGATTGCCACCATTGAAATAAGTCCTCCTGTGCTTCCCTGAGATGATACAATGGGGACTTTTAGTGTGATATTTCGCCCAGTAATCTATTTGTACTGTTCATCTTGGGACTGAAAAATCAGCTACACTTGTCAAAGAGATAAGTACCACTAAAGTGAGATCCTTGTGTTCCATTGGGACAATTGAGATTGTCTGCTTAGAGTCATCATGCAGAAACTGATACAGATTTGGCCCAAAGGGACATCTTGAGCTTGCAGCAGAATCTGAAATGTAACAACCATCCATGTGGTACTGAAGGCATAATGGTCACAGGTAGCAACTGAGTGTTGGAATTTTGTGGCAAGTTTGGATCTTCTGCAGAGAAGCCACTAGTGAATGTGATACCTCATTTACAATGGAGACCCCAGAACACTGAAAATGTTCTATACATAGGACATCCACAAAGGAGACCTACACCTGTAGAGTGGAACTGGTCTACTACCAAGACAAAGCCTGTATGTGCTACAGGCAACATAAGAAGGGGGGAGGGCTACCCAGGTTGTTTGGAGCCCAGAATACAAGACCAATCTGCTAGACATTGGAGTTAGAAGATTTTGTCTATAAACTGCTTTTATTATTTCTTTTGCTTTCTGAAATTATAATATAATTACATCATTTCCCCCTTTAATTTCCTACCTCCAAACTCTACCATATACCTCTCTTTGTCTTTTCAAACACATATCATTTTTTGATTAATTATTGGTATATTCCTAAATAAAATCTGCAGCTGGTTTTGTTATGTTGTTTTGTTTTGGAATGGTTGCTTTTGATGCCCTGTTTCTTTTTCAGAATAACAATGTTTTACAAGTGTAACTTCTTATTTTACAGGTGGTCAGATTTCAAAGATCTTGGATCTTGAAGTCTTGGAAATTTTGAAAGGCTTTAGGAGATTTCTGGAATTGGACTATATTTCATATCCTGGTATTAACATGACACATATGGGACAAGGGAAAGAAAGTTATGGTTCAAAGTGATGTGTGTATATATGAAATTGACAAGCAATGGTCTGTGTCAGCTAGTTTTTATTGTAAACTTGGCACAACCTAGAATCAAGAGGGAAAGGAACTTTAATTGAGGAATTATCTAGGTCAGTCTGGCCAGTGGAGATGTCTTCCGGGGTTGCTTTTATGTTGAGTGTTATGGGAGGGCTCAACTCATTGTGGGTATATTATTCTATAATCTGTCATCTGAGTTGTAAAAGAATGAAGAAAAGCAGTAAGTAAGCAAAAATTCTGTGCTTATTACCTCTTTGCTTTTCTTTTTCCAAAACAAGGCTTCTTTGTGTAGCCCTGACTATCCTGGAACTTGCTCTGTAGACTAGGCTGGCCTCAAACTCAGAGATCCCTCTGCCTCTGCCTCCCGAGTGCTGGGACTAAAGGCATGCACCACCACTACCTTCTTATCCCTCTCAGTTCTTTAATTATATATCATCTATATATCATCCAAAAGTAATCTACCATGAAGCATATCATCCTGGACTTGAGCCATCATCTATCCCAACTTAGAATATCGCAGGACTCACCGACATAAGCAGGCACTTGTTTTCCTTGATTGAGCCCATGCAGCCCAAGAAGGCAACCACCATGATAATGGAGCCCACGATGACGAGTACATTGCCCAGTGTCAGGAAGGGAAGGTTACGGAAGAGCACTCCATAGGTGTTTTGGACCAGGAGGTAGATACCAAAACCCAAAATGCAGCAGCCACAGACCTGAAAGGAAGAATTCCATAGCATTCTAAGGTGAATGTAATTCTTTGTTTTTCATTGTTTCTATTGAGTTATATGTTTTTCTCCACACCCCTCCTCTCCTCCCCCTCCCCTTCTACCCTCTCTCATGATCCCCACACTCCCTATTTACTCAGGAGATCTTGTCTTTTTCTACTTCCCATGTAGATTAGATCCATGTATGTCTCTCTTAAGGTCCTCTTTGCTGTCTAGGTTCTCTGGGATTGTGAACTGTAAGCTGGTTTTTCTTTGCTTTATATCTAAAAGTCACTTATAAATGAGTACATATGATATTTGTCTTTCTGGGTCTGGGTTACCTCACTCGACATGATGTTTTCTATATCCATCCATTTACCCACCATTTTCAAGATGTCATTATTTTTTCTGCTGTGTAGTACTCCATTGTATAAATGTACCACATCTTTATCCATTCTTTTATCGAGGTTGTTTCCAGGTTCTATGGCAAATAATGTTGCTATGAACATAGTTGAGCACATGTCCTTGTGGTATTATACCCAAAAGTGGTATTGCTGGGTGTATAACTAATTTTCTGAAAAATCACCATACTGAAATCCAAAGCAGCTGTACCAGTTTGCACTCCCAGCAGCAATGCAGAAGTGTTCCATTTACCCCATGTCCTCTCCAGGATAAGCTGTCATCAATGTTTTTGATCTTGGTCATGCTTACAGGTATAAGATGGAATCTCAGCATTGTTTTGATTTGCATTTCTCTGATGGTTAAGGATGTTGAGCATTTCCTTAAGTGTCTTTCAGACATTTTAGATTCACCTGTTGAGAGTTCTCTGTTTAGCTCTGTATTCTATTTTTTATTGGATTATTTGTTCTTTTGATGACCAATTTCTTGAGTTCTTTGTATATTTTGGAGATCAACTCTTTGTCTGATGTGGAATTGGTAAAGATCTTTTCCCATTTAGTAGGTTGCCATTTTGATTTGTTGAGCATGTCCTTTGCTTTACAGAAGCTTCTTAGTCACTTTCAGGAGGTCCCATTTATTAATTGTTTCTCTCAGTGTATGTGCGACTGGGGTTCTTAAGTATCTCCTAATTTCTATTATCATATCCTTGAGGGGAGGGGGGTTGGGCTCTCTCGAGACTTGCCTCTTTACTCAGTTTTCCCACTATCATATAGAAAAGAAATAACAGCTTCTGCATATGAAGTAACACTTGCATTTTTTACAACACATATTCAGATGCCAAGGAAATGTCAGACCTATGAGTGACCTAATACTTTTACTACATATATGTACATAAATATATATACACTTATATATAGAATAAAGAATATATGTATATATATTCTTCAGATGATCTATCTCTTGTTTGCTCAGTTGTCCATTCATGGCCTTTTCTTTGAAGAGTATGACAATGTAAAGAAGATACTCTGTTTGAGGAAAGTTACCTTGATAGGAGACTACTAGAGTAACCACATTTATAAGAATAGTCTCATAAAGACATGAGTACAGATTAATCTTGCATATGAAATGCAGCTGCTGAATTCAGTACAGTGAAACCTCCTTGGACATCTCTTTTTTCACGTTAAATTACTAACGTGGACATATGTGTCTGAACTTAACAGTTTTATTAATTCAAATTAATTATACAAAATGTTTCATTTTTCTATTTCTGTACATCAAATATATAGTGCACTTTGATCATATTCACCACTCTATTAATCTTTAAGTGATTTTTCTTTTCCATTTTCCTCCTCCTCACTCCTAATAGTCCCCTTTTAGTTAAATGTCTTTATTTTCTTGACTTTCACATAAGAAGGAGAAGAAGCAATCCTTTTCTATATGGTGCTGACTTACTTCACTCAGAATAACCTCAAATTTCATCTATTTTTCTTCATAATTCCATCCTCCTTTATGTCTAAGAAAAACTCTACTATATACATATACCACCTACTCTTTATTCTCTGCTGATGAATATCTAATCTGCATCAACAATTTAGCTGTTGTGAATGATCCTGTGAAAAGCATGGGGTTCAAATATCTTTCTAATAAGGTGATTATTTTTTCTTTCAGAGACAAAATGACTAGTGAAATTGCTAGGTTATCTGGAATTCCAAAACTTGAAAAAAAAAAGAGAATAAAAAGTACAAGTGACAAATGAACAATGGAAATAAGCAGTTTTGAAAAAAATGAAGTATAAATGGCCAATAAGAATATGGAATTTGGCAATGACTTTTCTGTTTCTATATTGTGAAATACGTTAAGGAGTATAGGTATTAGCTCTTCTTGGAAGTTCTGGTAGAATTCTGCGTTGAACCCATCTGGTCCTGGGCTTTTTTTGGAAGGGAGATTTTTGATAACAGTTTCTAGTTCTTCGAGACTAACAGGTCTATTTAGATCATTCACCTGGTCTTGGTATATGGTACTTATCTAAAAAAATGTCCATTTCTTTTGCATTTTCCAGTTTTGTGGCATACAGGCTTTTATAGTAAGATCTAATGATTCTCTGAATTTCCTCTGTGTCTGTGGTTATGATGTACTCACTCATATTTGGTTTCTAGCCATAAATAAAGGACATTGAGCCTATAATTCGGGTTCTTAGAGAAGCTAAATAAGAAGGAGAACCCAAAGAAAATCATACAGGCTTCCTCCTGAATATTAACCTTCATCAGGCGAGGAAAGGAGACAGAGACAGAGACCCACAATGGAGCACCGGACTGAAATCTCAAGGTCCAAATCAGAAGCAGAAGGAGAGAGAGCACAAGCAAGGAACTCAAGACCGCGAGGGGTGCACCCATACACTGAGACAAGGGGGATGTTCTATCGGGAACTCACCAAGGCCAGCTGGCCTGGGTCTGAAAAAGCCCGGGTTAAAACCGGTCTCGCTGAACATAGTGGACAATGAGGACTACTGAGACCTCAAGAACAATGGCAATGGGTTTTTGATCCTACTGTACCTATTGGTTTCGTGGGAGCCTAGGCAGTTTCGTGGATGCTCACCTTACTAGACCTGGATGGAGGTGGGTGGACCTTGGACTTCCCACAGGGCAGGGAACCCTGAATGCTCTTTGGGCTGACGAGGGAGGCGGACTTGATTGGGGGAGGGGGAGGGAAAGGGGAGGCGGCAGTGGGGAAGAGACAGAAATCTTTAATAAATAAATAAATAAAAGTTAAAAAAAAGAATATGGAAAAATGTTCAAGATCTTCAGCTATCAAAGCTATATAGAGATCCCATTTCATTCTGTCGAATAACTATCAAAGATAATTATCAACAACAAATGCTGACCAGGATGACAGAAAAAAGGAACCGATTTACACTATTGATGAGAATAAAAATTAGCCTAGATACTGCAGCATTCATCTCTGAGGTTCTTTCTAAAAACCAGAACTTCCATATTATTTCTCTGTCAATACTCTTCCATGTGGTCAGGGAGTAGGAGAGTGTAGAATTTAACACCGAAATTATAGTCCATTTCTCATTTATAAATGCCAGCTATTTGCAATATTATCCTAAAGCCCCCAGAGAGAGTTGGCAGCTCCATTATTGACTGCACTGATACCTTTCAGTTGTGTTATTGTTGTTGTTTTTGTTTTGTTTTTTGAGATAGGGTTTCTCTGTAACTTTGGTGCCTCTTCTGGAGCTAACTCTTGTAGACCAGGCTGGCCTTGAACTCACAGAGATCCACCTGCCTCTGCCTCCCCGAGTGCTGGGATTATAGGTGTGGGCCACCACCGCCTGGCACCTTTCAGTTTTGTAGGCTTATTGTGACAAAATGGCAGGAAGGAAGGAAATTATTGTTTCTTTATATTTACATGATATGTTCCAGATAGTCTCAAGGTGTGCACAGTTCACATTCTATACTACATTCTTTAGCTGAAAAGAAAGGACAGGTTAACTGGGATGGAGGGGTTTTATTTCAGATATATTCAAAGGAGACGCTTACCCAAAAGAGCAAGTTAAAGATAAACAGGACATATTTCAGCAATTTCAGGCTGCTCATGCCCATTCTGGGAGAGTATGACCTAAAAAGCAGAAAGAATAAGAAAGGAATATTTTAGAGGATTTGGCATTGTAAAGTAGCACAACAGACTCCAAAATGTAGGTGTTTAGAGTCAAAGGATTGTCACCACCATATTGTATTTGAGCTATTTATTTCTCCTTTGGAAATTCTCCCTAAATCTCTGCTTTCAACTTTAAAAATTGAAGCCCATGTTGAACAAGCATCATCTTGAACACTGAATGTTACTCCAACTCAGTAAGCAATGTTTGATGTTGCAGTACACCTCATGACTGAATGATAGAGCTATTCTAACAACAAAGTGAGTCTTAGTGGCACAGACTAAGCCAATGCTTTTGGTCCTGTGTGATATTAGTGACTAATGTCTGACTGCTCAAGAAAAAGAAAGCCAGGGACTTGGTCAGTCAGTTCCTTAACTCTCTTTAGATTAATTACTAACTAAATTTGCTGTTGTTGTTTATTTATTTATTTTTGTGACCATGTTTTAATTACAACATTTTCCCTCCCCTTCTTTCCTCCAAATATCTCATATACCCCTCCCGATCTCCTTCAAATTCATGGCCTCTTTTTTCGTCAGTTGTTATTGAATGGTCTATAAACCTCTCCAGATGAAAATAGAAGGTGATATACATATGCCTTATTTGTCCTCTTATGCACAATTATCTAAGATATTTCTGTTCTAGATATGGCCATGGCTAAGTATTAGACACCTTCCAATAGATGCTGATCTTATAGCAAAAATAAAACACACAAATGCATAATGAGATGTTAAAAGGGTCTACAATATGAGCATAGTCTTTTAAGTGAGGCTATCATTTGTTTCAGCAAGGATACCACTGTGTAGATATATATGATGTATTACATGGTAAGTATATGCATATATGTGTGTGTAGACAGTTCTGTCACTATGTATGTCCTTAGGGAGGTACACACACAGGGGGTGAAGAGGGAGACAAATGGGATGGACAGTGAGAAAGTGGAAGGGATAGAGAAAGAGGGGAGAGAAGGAAAGAGGGGAGGGAAGGGACAGAGAGAAAATTATGTCTAGACAATGCCCATCTAGGTAAACCAGGGTTATCTCTCATTTCAAGACATGAATATGATGGCAAATGCCTGTAATCCCAGTGCTGGGGAGCCTTAGACAGGAGGATTACAAATTTGAGGTCATCCTAATATAATACTTGCTATATATATGCAAATTAGCCTACTAAAGCTAAAGCTGAAAAGCTTGAGATAAAAATACACTGGGACATATTATTAGTGGATATTATATAAGGAAAAATTGGTGAACTTTAAGGTAGTAAAAAAATCATAAAAGGACATATAATAAAAATTTAAATGATAGAGCACCTCTAAATAAAGTAAAACTGAATATCATAATTTGTATGTAATGGAAGTACCCAAGTAAAGAGAGAAAAATACTTGAAAAATTAAAATCTTTAATAAATTCTGAAGAAGGTTAAAATAATTTATTCACATGACAAAGAAGATCAATGAAATCCAAAAATAAGAAATTTATACTCTGTAGTAAAATTTAAATAAAGTACACAATCAATGTTATAAACAAAATCTTAAAATAGCCAAAGGAAACAAGATATGTTTGGCACAAAATAGTTAATATGAAGATAAGATTTATAAGAAAACAGTCAGTCCAAGAAAGACTAAAGTAATGCATTTAAAATACTAAAATACACCCCAGAAAAATCACATCAGGATTTTATAATCAGTAAAAAAAAAATTGGAAAAAAGAGAAAAAGCAAAGAATATAATATACATATGAGATTTGTTCATGATATTAAAAAGACACAACTATAACATGTACAAAAGCTAAGGGAATTTCTTATCAGCAAATCCACACTACAAGAAGCATTTAGGGAAATCCTCTAGGCGAATTGTTAGACCATAGGCAAGACCAGCGTTACTGCACAGATAAGTAGACCATGTAGTCTTGCTAGTTGTGATTTGAATCTTAAATGACCCCTAAAGGATCATGTGTTAAATGAAGACTTGGTCCCCAGTTGATAATGCTATTTATAAAGGTGATAAATTCGCGTGTGATCAAAAGGTGATAAATTCTTTAGGAACTGCAGCCTGTTTGAAAGATTTAGGCTACTGGGGCACGCCATTACAGGGTGTGTCTTTCTATATCTCTCCTTCTATCTACCCCTGTCTCTCTTCTTTCTTCACGTCCCTCTTTCTTTCTCAACCATATGACAAGAACACTTTTGTTCTGCTCTGTGCTCTCACCACAGTGTTTGAACCTCAGAACACACCCAAACTAATGGCACCAGTGATCACACATTGCATCCTTTGAAATTGTGATTAAAAGACTATTTTTCCTCTTTTAAGTTGATTTCCTAAGGATTTTTGTCACAATAATGAAAAGTAAACTTCACATTATTTAAATATCTAATAAACACTGGACTGTGAAAAACAGTATTATATGAGGTTAAAATATATATAAGAAAAGAAGTTTGTAATAACAATAACATTGAGTCTGGAAAGGAAAAAAACTGAAAATTCTTGTATTGGATGTGGAGTATCATTAACTCACAGCTACTGTGGTTACATGCATTGGTAACATACATGTATTGGTGCCCTAAATAAAATTGCAGCATGAGTTTGGGACAGCTCACAAAGTTTAGGAGCTGCTGGCACTTTCTGAATGCTGGGAAATAGAAAGTCAGAGATTTTTGGAAGTATGGCCAGTTGCCAGTGATCTAGTAGACACCCCACACAAGTGAACCCATGAGCAGCACTGACTAAACTCAGGTTTATAAAAAAAAAAAAAAAAATAAGGACACAAAATCACAAAATTGGGAGGAAAATGTTTTGGAGTGTTTGGGGATGGTTAGGGAGAGACAGTGGAAGTGGGTATGGCCAAAATACATTGTATACATTCACAAAACTTCCAGAGAATACACAGAAATAATATTTTTTTTAAATGACAACAATCATTTATTGGTTTATTTCATCTCTACTAACACATCGGTCATCCACCATTTAAATACCTGACTTCATTAGAAACCATTTGAACACTTCTTTCTTCCTCCGGCCATAAAAATACAGTAATTTGCTTTAAAAAAAAAAACAAAAACAAAACAAAACAAAAGAACTGAACAAGCATCCTGGTTCTGCCTACTTTCCTAATGCTTCTGAGACAGACGTTTACAGCAAGTCAGCAGGCTGAAGCCGGAAAGCCAGTCTTCTACTTGAAAGTGCTGCCCTCTGGATCTCTTCTCTACACCCTTCTTCTTCATGGCCTAAAGTATGTACAGCTGAAACCACCAACTTCCAACTACCACCTAGTGTTCATTCTCTCCGCTGTTAAAGTAAACACAACTTACCTCTAACATATTCAGAAAAATACTTAAGCCTCAAGGTCCCCAATAATTTGGAGCACTGAACTAGATTCACCCTGACACTTCTGACAGAAGTAACGCATTACTCAATGAGAGGTATCCACACCCTGCTGTTAGAACCTACGCATACACAACACTGAGAGCCAGTCACTGTTCACGCGGTTTACTCTTCAGGCCGTCCTTCGCCATTAGTCAGCTCTAACTAGGCCAGAGTCCAGCAGGAAAGTGCATGGTGCACCAGATCCACCATCTCTTAGGTTGCTACTGTTTTCTCTTCTTTACTGAAAGGTTGTACTGAGCCAGGCTTTACCCATGACAGGCCAGCAACATGAACACTTTTATTGTGCTGTTCGTCAGGCTTCTTCTGAGTGAGCATCTTCTCTCTGGCCTCATCGTGTACAGAAGGGTTCCATGGAGAAAAGCTAATTGCGTAGGGGTCTTCTATTTTGGGCTGGTCAAACAAACGAGCAGTGCACACTTTAACACTGTCGACCACTTTACTTTTAAAAAGCTGAATGTCTTTTTCATACAGTACTGCAGCCTCTGGGTTCAGGGGACTTGTGGTGTCGATCTTGTAGAAGACTCTCCGTGCGTACATTAAGACCTGCCAGATGTGATTATGGTTCCGCCTCCACTTTGCAAATGCTCTCTTCACGTCCAGTTCACCTGCGGTGGAATCAGCTAGCGGATGAAAGACGGGAATATCGAACAGCAGGCGTGGACAGTCGCCATCTGGATAGTTATCAGGAATATACACGGTAAACTTGAACACGCCATCCTGATACAGTCCGTGTCGTATGAATATTACTCCAAACCACACTAATGCAGAGCGATACGATGGCTGTACATAGACACCTGGTAGCTTCTGCTTCACCACCAATGTAAATTCTGCAAGAAGCGAGTACTCCAGGTAGAAGGGCCCATAAGAGGCATGGGTGCCATTTGCTGACCGCGCTGCTGGGGCTGGAGATGCAGGCTTCGTTATGGGCAGGGCGCTTTTGGGAACAGACGGCAGCTGCTTTTTCGGTGCAGTCCGTGGAGGACTGGTTTTCACGTCCCCTGCTGGTGTCGTCTCTTCAGCTTCAGCTCGTTTGCGCTCAGAGTTTGCAGACATGCTCCACAAAGGGTTCATAACGTGTACTCCAAACAAAGAACTTCAGTGCTGTGTCATCAAACTCTTCTGTCCTCAGCGTTCACGCTGGACGCCCTCGATGCGGAGCTCAGGCGGCCGAGCGCCACCGCGGCCCGACAGCATCTCCGGCCGCAGCGCAGGCCGGCCCCTGCCACTCCTCTCCCGCAGCGCCCCGCCCCCCAGAAATAATATTTTAAATAAATAATTATAAATTGAGGGTTCGGTTGGGGAGGGAGAAGGGAAGTAACAAGAGGAAGGGATGGGATGAGGGACAAAGTTGGCACATGCTATAATCCCAACACTTGCTTGCAAACTTAACCGTCAAGGACAGAGGTGGGAGGATCGACACGTGTTCCAGGTCAACCCAGGGTACATGATTAAAGCTTGTTACAAAAAAAATAATTACAAGTATTTTTGGAGTGGGATAGCAGGTTTGGGGGCATATGCCAATGAGTTGACTATTCATTGCTGCCCTATTTACAATAGGTAAACCTTCCTTTCCCTTCTAACCTTCCTCTTCCCTCTTGTTGCTTTGTCTCAAACCCCAATTCAAGTTATCCCCTACTGATCAAAGGGTTGCTCCTTCTGGGGCAACAAGTAGACTGAAGGCAGATCCACACCTCTCCTACTGCTCCTGAGATCCAATCCCTCAGCTCATTACCAGCTCTGTAACTGGAAGCCTGATATGATCTTCCTTTCTTCTCTGAACCCATTACCAACAGATCAAAAAGACTTTCTCCCTCAACCTTCCTTTCCTCAACTCATCCCAGTATTATAGCCTCAAACACGAGTAGGTATTCACTATAAATGCACCAGCTAAACAGGCCAGGAGAACAGGCAATACATAACCAGAGAGGAAATAGAAGCCAAGGAACAAAGTATCTACCCAACAAAGACAAATCTAGAAATCAGCACCTAAACCTATACTCATTCCCAACTCAGATGCCTAGATGCCAGAATAAAAACACAATCAATGCCTTTACTAGAGCCCAGCTATGCAAACACAGCAGGACTTAAATATTTCAACATAACTTAAACACAAGAAAAAGAGAGACTGCAAAACAGCTTTTATGAATATGATAAAGTTCCTTAAGGAGAAGATAAAGAAATCCCTTAGAGAAAGGAAATCTATATATTGACTTTTTAAAATCAATAATCTATTGTGCAATCAGAATTAGAGTTCATGGGTTTAAAAACAAATAACTATTAAGACTAATTTAGCTTTGTGGGTGGTGTTTTCATGCAAATGAGCAAGGGTGGGCTCCTTGTTCTGTAGTTCTGAGTTTGGTTTTAATACTCTGTACTGCCTGTGTACACAGTACATTAAGTCCTTAGAGACTGAAATTACTGCTTTTGTGCAACTGTATTTTGAATAAAGCCACCACAGTGTCAAACACAAGGACAGGCAAACTGATTGTGTGTTCTGGCTTTTTTTTTCTGACTGCTGTAACTTAAGTTTTGAAAATGAATTGCTTTGAATAAATCGAAGAGTTGTTAATAAAAAAAGAAATCCAGGAAAATACAGACAAACAGTAGATGGAAATGAATAAAACTGTTAAAGACCTAAAATTGGAAATAGAATCAATAAAAAAAACCTCAAACTGAAGGAATTCTGGAAACAAAAAATTTTGGAATTTGAACAGGAACTACAGAGACAAGCTTCATCAATAGAATACAACAGATGGAAGAGAGAATCTCAGGCACTGAAGATACAATAGAAGAAATGGATTCACCTGTCAAATAAAATACTAAATCTAAAAAGACACCTGACACCAAACACCCAAGAAATCTGGAACACTAAGAAAAGACCAAACTCAAGAATAATAGGTATAGAGGAAGGAGGAGAAACCCAACTCAAAGGCTCAGAAAATATTTTCAACAAAATTATAGAAGAAAAAATTTTTAACCTAAAGGAGATGCCTATAAAGATATAAAAAGCATACAGAACACCAAATAGAATGAACCAGAAAAGAAAGTCTCCTTGCCACATACTATCAAAACACTAAACATACAGAACAAAGAAAGAATATTAAAAGCTGCAAGGGAAAAAGATCAAATAATATATAAAGGCAGACCTACTAGGATTACACTTGACTTCTCAATGGAGACTCTAAAAGTCGAAAGTGGCTAAACAAAGGTGTTTAGACTCTAAGAGACTACAGATGCCAACCTAGATTACTATTCTCAGCAAAGCTTTGAATTAACACAGATGGAGAAAATAATATGTTCCATGATAAAGTAAAATTTGAACAAGATTTATCTACAAATCTAGCCTTACAGAAGGTGCTAGAAGGAAAACTTAAGCCTAAGGAGATTAACTACATCAATGAAAACACAGCATGAAACATGAAAGCACAGCAAAATCAAAAGAAGGGAAGCACACTCATGTGCATGTGCACACACACACACACACACACACACACACACACACACACACCTCCACCAGCACTACAAACAGCAAAATAACAGGAATCAAAAATCATGGTCATTGATATCACTCAGTATCAATAGCCTCAGTTCCCCAATAAAATGGCACAGACTAAAAGAACGGATATTAAAACAGGATCCATCCACCATCACCAGGCTAAGAAGTTAGAAGTTAAGAAGTCTAGACAGTTCAGAAACAGTAGGAAGAAATATACTATTATTTTAATAAAAACACATAGTATTAAGCCGACTCCTAGTTATGACCATAAATTCAGTCAAACTGAATCTGAGAAATTTCTGTTTTAAGTAGACAATAATTAAAACACAGTGACCCACAACTTGCCAAGGTACAAAGAATACGAAATTGAAGAATGTTCAGCCCTATAGTCGGAACCACCTCCCTGCCACGGCTCATGGATCATCTCAGAAGAGGGAGCATAACGAAGTAAGAGCCTGAAGTGGTGGATGACCACAAGGAAACATAATCTTCTAGACACATCAGGGCCACTGCACATTTGAACCCACATTGCTTTCGAAAGGATGCACAAACCCTACGTAAGCCTAATCCAGACCAACTCTGAACATAGAGAGGGGAGATGGGCGCACTATTCTACCCCCAAGCAGTGGCAATATTGACAATTATTTGGGGCTGTGAGTAACATTTTACTCTAAGAGTATAGACCCTGCTAAGTCAACCACTCTCCGATGGGAGACCTCATATCCAAGAATATTTTGAAACCACAAGCTGGTCTTGAATATTTTTATGAAAGGATGAAAAGGGATAGAAAAGGGGGGTAAATCAGTGAAGATGTGGGAGAGGTAGTGAATATAATAAAAATGATGTATGAAACTTTCAAAGAACCAATTAAAATGTAAAATATAACTATGGTGAGTAGCAAAAGATAGATATAAAAGTGCATAATGCATGATTCCAGGTATATAACATTTAAAAAATGAAAAAAATGTAGAAACAGAAATCGGACCAGAGAATGAATGGAAATCTAAAACCTCTTTCCTCTCTTTTACTCATGTTTTTTTTTTTTGCTAAAATATGTTCCTTTCTGTCCTCAACATTTATTCTGATCAGTTACTAACCGTTTTTTCACTCGGTTATATCATTTTTCCATGAGATCTTCTATGATGTCTAATTTTTTATAGCTAGTCCTCACTCCTAAAAGGAGTGCCTGCACTATCTCTGAATCTCTTTCCTTATATCAAAATCTATATTACAAACATCTCTTCCTTCATTAGGAGGTAAACTTTGAAAGTAGGCACACCCATTCACCTTTGAATTACTGGCACCTAGCACATCAGATAATGACCCCCAAAATTAGTATGATTGTTAAACAAACAAATAGCTTTACCTCATTTAATAACTCTATATTCTAATATAGTAGAATAAACAAGATACTACAGAGTCAGTAGCCTTGAGATTTTTGTTGTTGTTGTTAATAAATGATGCTTTAAACAAAGGAAAATAAGTTCTTCATCAACTATCGGGGGTTATCAAGTCATCTGCCTCCTAGAGTCAATACATCCCAGCATCCTTGAGTCCTATCACAACTTTTTCAAATATATATACACCCATTTTCCATCAGTGACCAAGATACCTTCAAGCCTGGGTGTGTCACCATTGACTCTTACCTTTACAGAAAGCAAAAGGGTATCCGTTTCTTTGCTTTCTGGTTTTCTGCTTACTTGGATTCTTGTCAAATTGAAGGATTCCTTTGCAAAATGGCCCTATTTTCTTATAAGCCCAGGCAAATTTCTCCTATTCTCTCTACACCATTACTGGCCAGTTTCTAAAACTCCCACTCTTGTACCATTCGGTGGAACTGACACCGACCTAACAGTTAAAGCTGTCACTTCCACCCCATGACTCACAGTGTTTTCATGGGTTTCTTTTTTATGAGGAAAGCTCCTGACGTCAATTTCCAGGAAACCTTAAAGACTAAACCACAATGCTCTGAGGCCACATCCCAGGACCCAGTGCGGGAACCAGACTAAACACCATTTAATTACTCCAAGCAAAGAGCTTGGGTTTGTAAACTATTTTGTAGGTTCCTAGTTTGATTTCTCTCTCTCTCTTTATTTTTTTTTTGATCTGTAATTCAGCACCATCTACTCTTGCCTTAAGTGAGATCAAGTTTAGAGGTGGTTGTGGTTAGACAGAAACTTCAAAAAAAACTCTAACAGTTTTTGAGCTCTGCCTTTATAAAATTCAGTTGCAGAGGCCAATGTGTAGCTACAGCGAGTAGCTTTGCTTTTTTCCTACATAGACAATTTATGAGATACTAACAAGTTATTCTCCCCAGGCTGTGGTGGCACATACCTTTAATCCCAGCACTTAGGAGACAGAGGCAGGAGGATCTCTGTGAATTCAAGGCCAGCCTGATCTACCAGTTCCAGGACAAAAAAAAAAAAAAAAGATTCTCAAAAAAGCCAAAAACAAGGCAGTAAGGAATGCAAAAATTCCATGGTCAGAACTTTTGAAGCTAAATAACAATTTAAGTGCCACGCACCAACCAACACTACTACACAGACATGATGCCTATGGACCACAAGAACCAGCATGGCACAGTAACCCACAGGAGCAATAAAGGCATTACTTAGAGGTAACAAACAGGTGTCTAATTGTCCTTAAGACTCACTCAACAAGAAGGAAATACCAGAAACCTAGTCAACTACCCAGGACTAGTGAAGTTGTGGATCCTGGGGGATAAACTACAACAGCCACTTTACTAAGCCAGCATAATCACTGACTGCATTCTAAATGATTATCCCTATGCCCACAGAGAAGTGTAGTCCTCAGTCCACATCAGTTCAACTTCTGTTTTCAACAGACAAAAGCCATTAAGAAAACCACAACCTACCAAAATCAGAGCCCAGTACCAATGAATACATCTATGCAACAACGCCCATACTTAAGGCTCTTGGATCATTGCAGAGAAAGTGGTGGAAAGACTGTAAGAGCAAGAAGATCAGAGAGTTTTCTTTTTATCTCTCAGAAATGTTGGAAGATACACACATGAAGTCTCATCCATGTGACTGCCTAAACGTGAGTAAAACAAGGACAACAATAGGCACTCTAATGTGGACTGGGGGAAAGCCCACAAGGCCTCAAACCCAGACAAAGAACTACAGACAACTAAAGGATGCTGAGAATAGGAGAAAAAAATCTTCTCCAGGGAAGAGCACACCAATACTTATCTAATACCAAATGGTCAGTCACAAAAGCATACATGTAAGTAATAATATATAGACTGAACAGGTGTAATATGTATATATCAATGTGTGTATGTGAGAGACAATAATTAATGACAAACGAGTCTGTGAGTTTAAAAAAGAACTATGAGGGGTATACAGGAGGGCATATGGGGAGGAAATAGAAGGGGTTTGATGTAATTATAATCTCAGAAGGTAATAGAAATAATTTAAAATCAAAAGTGAATGGCTTTTATGTTCACCTTTTAATAAACTTGTAAATTAACATTAAAGTGGGTCTGTAAGAGAAAAGCATACTTACAAAACTACGCAATTTTCTTATACTGAAAAGTCCTCATTCCTAATACTGCATCATTACATTGAGGTCTATTTAGTCTGGTCAGGTCTATTTATAGACGACAGGTCAGCTTGCGTCAACCAAGACAGGCGGACCTTGATGGAAGAGCATGCCTGTTGCTGTTATGCTCCACAGATATATTAGCACTTGGGCCTGCATGGCAGCCTCATGGCAGCTTCAGCAAAGCACAGAGCTTTTGTGGACTTGCTGCTCTGCAGGTAGGATCAAGGGGAGTCCGATTGCAAGTTATCACTGACCTGCAGCTGCTTCCAGGCTTGACGAACCAGGTGTGAGCAGTGTAACTTGGTGAAGATGACTCACTGAGCTCAAAGCGTAAAGATCATTGTTTGATAAACACAACTTTAGAAACAAGCTTAGCTTAAGTTCCAGCACTGCCGCTTACAATTATAGCCTTGGACAACTTCCTTAAGCTGTCAAACTTCAAGTTTCCTCATCTTTAAAAAGGGATTTAATATTGCCTTCAGAGTTGTTCTAAGGATTCACTATGATAGAATTTCCGGAATGGTTCCGAGCCAGAAAGGTTCAGTGAGTGCTGAGTGAGCCCTGAGCTCCTGAGAGCTCTCAAGAGTGAAATGCCTTAGGGGCCGGAAAGGCTTTAATAACTGTTTCCCTTGCTTTGTTTCCTGGAAATACTTCTTTAAAAGTTTTGCCTTTTATAAGAAAAAGTTCATGAAAAGACAAATAAGGAGGATAAAAAAATGAAGTGAGAAAAGACAGATTCAGATGATAGTGTGGAGTTGTCTCCTCCCACTAGGGAGCTCAGCAGGATGACACTAGCCACTAATGGGGCTTGAGATCTATATAATAAGGCTATTACTTAATCTACGACCAGTTACCCAGAGCTCTCACACAGTCCAGTCAGTAGACGTCATATCCTCTTTATTATCTTAAAACCATGAAGAATTTTGCAGTAAAACATATTTTTTCTACTTGGTGAAAATGGATAATCAGTAGGGAAGATTTGCCTCTATACCCCAACATAGTAACTCATGGCTTATATTGTGAGCTCTTACTTACTGGCTTTGCAAGTATATATTTTCTCTTTCTGAAAACCTTTGTCCAGACAGCCTTCACTATCCAAATACCCAACCATCCTCTTGCCCAGCATCTGCAACCTTAGAGACCAGATCTAGACAGGTGTCTGGTTTCTACACATTCTTTGTGCTTCAACATCTACACCTAAGTGGTAGCTCTCCCTGATAACATCCCAAGGACAGGTGCCTAGTGCACAGAGCGACCTACACAGTGGATGCTTGTTGAGGTATAAGGAAGTGTGATAGGCTGACTATGAACACGAGCCAATATATGAAGAAGCCAAGATGAACACAAGCCACTATAACTAAACCAACACACTAATTGTTGGAAGGAAACTTCAGAAAAAAGAATGACTACAACTTCACACACACCCCAAAATAACCTCTACTTTTCCTTCTGATCGAGGGAAACAATAAGGTTAAAGAGGAAGAAATCTGCCTCTGTGTCCCAATTCAAATCCATAGAAATCTATCGAAATTGTTGTGTCTAGATGTCAAGCATAGCTCTGCCCTGAAAAAGACCCAGGACGTGTCTGTTCAGTAAACTTGCCATCTACTTTGAATTGTCAAGTAGGAGAAAGGGCTGGTGGTGCTTCCTGTGATCATGTGACTATTTTCTCTTGCTTAATTTCATTTCTATCATGCCTGTGGCAAGGAGTGGGGGAGCAATGCTTCTCTGCGAGCATATTCAGTGTTCTGTAGCTGTAATGTTCCGAGACCCGGTCTGGATAATAAATTCATAACAGTGTCTTTTCTCAAGGAGTCTTTGGCAGACTCTCAAACACCTGCAATGTGTGTACATTCTCTCTACTTTACAGAAAAGAGCACACTGTATTGTGTTCTCTGTACCCCTGTGTCTGCCCCCCCCCCCGCATGGTAGTCTCTTTGTGATTGACAATCACATCAGTTATCTTTGTGTGTTCAGAACCTGAACACAGTCCTGGCCATTGGAGCATTGTAGGGTGGTAGGGGCTGGGGAAGGAAAGCTGTAGTTCGAGGGCTTCCGGCCAGTTAGAGGCTAACCAGAGGGCATACGAAGCTAAGAAAACAACAGGGTTTTTCCTTTCCAGCTCTGTCTCATGTTAACAAAACAAAATTTTGAGTGATAGTAAGGTGGCTGTGATGGCCTGAACTTTGGATCACTTCCTGTGCATACAGGTAAGAGAACGTTGTGTTAAAAGAGAAATAATCTTAACTGACCTACACAGGAAACCACATTTCAGTTCAGCATCTGCTCCTAATCAACAAGTTTCGAAACAGTGAAGATTCCGTTTTAAGATTGAGAAACCAAAACCTTGCTGCCCAACAGATACCATTCTTTGGCTTGGTCCTCTAATATATATGATTGACCAAAAAGTCCCTTAAGGGCAAAATTGTTTTTGGACAAATTCTCCCTTCTTCCTCTTTTGTCCTCCTTAACCGCAGTACCTGCCAAAGCAATGTCAGACTACAAGAGATGCCTAACCCCTGATTGTTAACTTAGTTCACTAAAAACGGATCGTTACTTCTAATTATAAGGTTTAGTAGCCTCTGAGGGAAACCATGGTAAGCTGTCGCTTTCTCCCCATTTTCTCCCCTGATTTTTAGGTGAGTAAATGAGGTCACAGGGGACTTTCTTCTCTCTCCTTTAGATCAAAATCAAAAGAGCTCTCACAGTTCCTGGACTAAGAAGGCCCTGACACAGACATTTTGTATTGACAAGGGACGACCATGTTAGTCTCAGAAAATCGGGACCGAAGCTTGACTATTACTCTGCTGAATACCTGCAGCCTAGAATTAGTTTGGGTAGTTAGTTAGTTAGTAAATTAGCAGCTGGAAACTACTGCCATATCGAGTGTTGTGTTTCCTCTCAGCCGAGCACTTTATATGAAGTTGTTCATGTGCATGCTTCATATATCAAGGATTAGTGAATATGGAGAAAGAAGCCCTTAGATTACAATGTTTGCATTGCTCTTTGAAAGCCCCCAAACTAAACATCCCCAGTTTTATCTTGGAATAAAAGCATTAAGCACAGTTACAAGACACCTACTGTGTTACAGCTTCCTTTAAATCCTATTTTATACCAAAACACAATGGTCAGAGCACTAACTTCCCTTATAAAATGTTTTCAGATGAAGACAATACATCTCGTGGCTACTGTTCTAAATCACTCCAGCTATTACCTCTATCCCCACTTTAA